AACTGGTAACATCGCGAAAATTATACCTCCAGAAAAATAACTTTTACAGTAACCTAAATATATATTCTTTTGTGACCTTCCGTTTAATACAAACTGACTATACTACCACTTATAGGCGTAGGTATTTTATTAACATCTGATTGTAATGGGATTGGGTAGAATATAATGTAGCCAACAGTGCACCGGAACACAAAACAGACTGATAAGTATAAAAGAACCACGTTACAAAGAATCCAAACATTCTATAATTGGCAAGATATTTATTGGAAAAAATATCCATTATTACATTATCAATTTTACAACCTCCGTCTCGCCATGCCGAAAGCGCGTCTGGTGCACAAGCGATAAACTCAGGTCTGATCAATCGTAATTATTGTAATGGCATAATTGCTGTGATCAGAGAGGCAATGTCCGAAATGTGTGTTCGATGAGCCGATACAGGTCTGATGAGTAACGACAGGACAGGGTTATGGTAGGGGCGTGTCCTATATGCTGACGGAGAGCGATTTTACGTGGACCATGTTTTATACACAATTTCTGAATGTCTGTATCTTCATACACACTTTAGTCCAAATCGTTTGATACTAGTATAGTAAAAATCATACATCCTCGCACAGCAAAATCAGTATAAAGAAAACACCTGTTTAATTATTATTATACCTACTCAGTTAGTCAACATAATACATACTGAAATAGTTCAAAAACGTTCTTATTAAGAAACCTTATATGCATTTGTTTATTACAAACACACGTACTCGCTTATGAAACATTTGTGAATTTACCAATCAGATACAACAATGCAACGTACTAGCATGATTCCAGATAAACGTATACTTCTGATATGTAAACATGAAACAGTATATGGTCGGTACTCGTGGTAGACATAATTATGGGCGGTACACGTGATTGATATAATCATGGACGGTACACGTGGTTAATATAATCATGGACGGTACACGTGGTTGATATAATCATGGACGGTACACGTGGTTGATATAATTAAGAACGGTACAAGCGGTTGATAAAATTATGGACGGTACACATGGTTGATATAATCATGGACGGTACACGTGGTTGATATAATCATGAACGGTACAAGCGGTTGATAAAATTATGGACGGTACACATGGTTGATATAATCATGGACGGTACCCGCGGTTGATATAATCATGGACGGTACACATGGTTGATATAATTATAGTCGGTACACTTGGTTGATTTAATCACGGACGGTACACGCGATTGATATTGTCATGGACGGTACACATGGTTTATATAATCATGGACGGTACACGTGGTTGATATTATCATGGACGGTACACATGATTGATATAAATATTGTCGGTACACATGGTTTATTTATTTGTAGTCGGTACATGTGGTTGATATAATTATGGACGATACACGTGGTTGATATAATGATGGACAATACACGTGATTGATATAATTGTGGTCGGTACACGCGGTTGATAAAATTATGGACGGTACACATGATTGATATAATTATAGTCGGTACACGCGGTTGATAAAATTATGGACTGTACACATGATTGATATAATCATGGACGGTATACGTGGTTGATATAATTGTGTTCGGTACACATGGTTAATATGATTATTTTCGGTACCCGTTGCTGATATAATTATAGTCGGTACACGTGGTTGATATAATCATGGACAGTACACGTGGTTGATATAATCATGAACGGTACAGGTGGTTGGTATAATCATGGACGGTACACGTGGTTAATATCATCATGGACGGTTTGCGTGGTTGATATAATCATGGACGGTACACGTGGTTAATATAATTATGGTCGGTACACGCGGTTGATATAATCATGGACGGTACACGTGGTTGATATAATCATGGACGGTACACGTGGTTAATATAATTATGGTCGGTACACATGGTTAATATGATTAAAGTCGGTACATGTGGTTGATATAATCATGGACGGTACACGTGGTTGATATAACTGTGGTCGGTACACGCGGTTGATAAAATTATGGACGGTACACATGATTGATATAATTAGAGTCGGCACACGCGGTTGATAAAATCATGGACGGTACACGTGGTTGATTTAATCATGGACAGTACACGTGGTTGATATAACTGTGGTCGGTACACGCGGTTGATATAATTGTGGTCGGTACACGTGGTTAATATCATCATGGACGGTTTGCGTGGTTGATATAATCATGGACGGTACACGTGGTTAATATAATTATGGTCGGAACACATGGTTAATATGATTAAAGTCGGTACATGTGGTTGATATAATCATGGACGGTACACGTGGTTGATATAACTGTGGTCGGTACACGCGGTTGATAAAATTATGGACGGTACACATGATTGATATAATTATAGTCGGTACACGCGGTTGATAAAATCATGGACGGTACACGTGGTTGATTTAATCATGGACAGTACACGTGGTTGATATAACTGTGGTCGGTACACGCGGTTGATATAATTGTGGTCGGTACACGTGGTTAATATAATTATAGTCGGTACACGTGGTTGATATAATCATGAACGGTACACGTGGTTGATTTAATCATGGACAGTACACGTGGTTGATATAGTCATGGACGGTACACGTGTTTGATATTATGATGGACGGTACACGTGGTTGATATAATCATGGACGGTACACATGGTTGATATAATTATAGTTGGTACACATGGTTGATATAATCATGGACGGTACACGTGGTTGGTATTATCATGGACGGTACACATGGTTGATATAATCATGGACGGTACACGTGTTTGATATAATCATGGACGGTACACGTGGTTGGTATAATCATGGACGGTACACATGGTTGATATAATTATAGTTGGTACAAATGGTTGATATAATCATGGACGGTACACGTGGTTGGTATTATCATGGACGGTACACATGGTTGATATAATCATGGACGGTACACGTGTTTGATATTATGATGGACGGTACACGTGGTTGATATAATCATGGACGGTACACATGGTTGATATAATTATAGTTGGTACACATGGTTGATATAATCATGGACGGTACACGTGGTTGGTATTATCATGGACGGTACACATGGTTGATATAATCATGGACGGTACACGTGTTTGATATGATCATGGACGGTACACGTGGTTGATATAATCATGGACGGTACACATGGTTGATATAATCATGGACGATACACGTGGTTGATTTTAGTAATTGCTGTTATATGTTAAACTGACTATTAAAAGGCATCTTGAACGTTAAAATGAGTACACCTTCCTTAATGTTATACTGACAAATGAATCATTTGCTTCTGTATATAACTCGGAAGTGCCGAATGATTAAATATTTGTTGCACTTAATTAAGACTAATAATTGTGTACTGAAGTAAGCGTATAGAAATATGATTGTGTATATAATGACAGAGATGGTAAGTTGCGATACAAGTCTAAAACCTTGCTGTCCCCTGGTGTTTGGGGTGTTAACTTATGTCACAGCATTTTGTTTCAAACAACGCCATTTCGATAGATATTATTATGTTACGTGAGTTATGTGACTTTGTTTGAGAAAATGTTATTAAATTGATTAAACTAAGTTTTGTTTGACTCATTGACACTACAGCACTATTTAACAAAGTCTATCCTAAATATTTATACCCGACTCATATATATAAGTTTCAATTATCTTCTTATCAACTGCGTTTAGAAGAAGGTACATATCGAAATATGCCAAGAGAATTTGCCTTCATTGAAACCAGAAGACGAGAAGAACTGTTTGTCGTCTGATACACTTGTACATTGACTATTAGTAGATCTGTGTTATCTAGGCAAATATTTACAATCATGTTTATCATTACGTTCAACATTTAAACATAATGTATGTTGTGCAATTACCATGCATCTTCTTTGCCAGTTACCTCATGTAAAATAATGTTGTTCATTATCTTAATTGTGCAATATCCGAATAACCACAATATTTTCCTACTATTATACTGTCCGCCAAGTCGGTCGTGTACTGTTTGTACAAGGTAGGTTAATTTTATATACATGTAATACTGGAATATTTTGTATAAGTTATAACACGTATATTGCATTAGTGTATATTCTATCGTTACACATATGAGTTGTAAGGTTGAATACACAATACAATATTTGGTCGATAAAAGTAAGGATGGCTTACATGGTTGATACAATTATGGTTGGAAGAATATGGTGTAAAGTAAGTTTGGTTGTTAAGTATAGCTATGGTTGGTATCCCCTCAGTTACTTGGTAACTTTAAGAATTACGTTTTTCCTTTTCGAAAAAATTGTTTGTAAATGTATTATATACAGTATAGTGTGTAATTTAATACAACCGAATCTAATAACTTTTTTCTATATCATTCATGTATAAATATGTAAAAACAATTATTAAAAGATTATGCAGTTCACAAACCATTTCCACATTTCCATACTATACAGATTCTGGATTTCCCATTGTTTAAAATCATGTTGGTTGTGACGTGTTGTCGAGTTATACAAGGCATTGTCTGTAGTCTGAGTCCAGTAGCGTCAGAATACTTAGTGTATTGTTGAAATACTGGTTGATGATATGGGTTTTATAGTGCTGAACTCGACTCAGGCACTACATAGTATGCCCATGCTGCTACTGTGAGATACTGGTATCCAGCGAGCATTGTCGGCTAGCGAGAGGCGGAGAGTGTGGGTTTCGATCGCTCAGTGCTGGTGTCTAGTGTATTTAATGGTATGAAACAGAGAGAGCTCTTAGCCTGCAATACTTTTAAATGGAATGTACGCCCCAACACATAGTATAAATCACACTTATACACACTTCACATTTCGTCGCAGGATAAGAAAACGGTTTAACACTTTAGACAAGTTTAAGTTACATGTCGCTTTTAAATCTCAAGAATTAAGATTAGGATTAACGCCGTTAATCTGTGATCGGTCGCAGTGACGGGGAGTTAGACTTTACAACAGGTGTTTTGTTGGCGTGTCTCGTGTACCTCCTGGATTATCAGATATAAAGAGTTGATGAAGTTTGACATAGAATGGAATAATTTCAAAATTTCTTCTTCTCGTGGACGTGTATGATGGGGTAGAGTGTTTGGTCGAGTTGACTTGACGAAAATGACAGGGACGCCTGGCTATAGTGGGCCTAGGCGACAATGGATTCTACTGGCGTGTAAAGTTAATCTCGTCCTCAGTGCCACGTTTATGCTTGGTAAGTATCTTTGTAATGTTTTAATTGAAATCTTGATTTTTTTCAGACTTTTGACATTGTATGTCACTTGTACGTACATCAAAATACCCATAAAAACAACAACGATTGATATTGATATTATGGCTGTATATTTACATATCTATCAGGTATGTAAAAAATAAGTAGTGAAGGCTATTGTACTCACCAAGTCAAGGGCGCGGAATTCCATCCCGTGTAATACTACTGTCAGGACAATCGTCAAATTGACTTTAATTCTTTAATACAATTAAACTGCCCTTCGTGTAAAACATCCAACGATGATTTCATCAATATGGAAAATTAAACGCTTTAGAAGTAATATATTTATGCTTTAAATATTTCCTGTGCTATTTTCATACCTTTGAGTTTCTATTTCATTACCACTTTAATGGGAATTCGCATATTTTCATGAAATTCGATATTCATTTCAAGATAATGAAAAACGTATTTATTTCAAATCCATTCCGTGTATGACAATTGCAAATTGGAGTTTTAAATTCCTGTTCAAACAGAATTGAATACGTAAAGGCGAACTTAAAGTTTGAAATTACCATGGCACTAAAATGATTTTGGAAATAAAAGTATTGTAAATTGTTTGCATGGTTTAAAATGATGGAATGTAAATATGTTCTTTTGATCAAGATAAAACAATTCGACCCGTAAAGTACCGCAAAATGCACTTGGGAATGTGAATTTACGGATAATCCTTAGAATATTAAATGACTTCAAATAGTTATTGAGTGGGTGTAAGCTGCAGATTTACAATGACAAAGGCGTTAAAAAAATACGTTTTATTTCTTTATTAATGGTCAATTACCTATTTCGCAGATTTATTTTAACGCATTTTTTAAGCGCTTTCGTGAATGTGAAATTTAGTTGATATGTAACGAAAAACAGGTTACTTCATAAATGAATGAAAATATGTTTGAGAGAGAGAGAGAGAGAGAGAGAGAGAGAGAGAGAGAGAGAGAGAGAGAGAGAGAGAGAGAGAGAGAGAGAGAGAGAGAGAGAGAGGGGGGGGGAAGAGACAGAGAGACAGAGAGAGAGAGAGAGAGAGTACAAATTATATCTTTAATAGTGATTATTTTGTAATTAATTTTGATGTATTCTGCTTTATAAATTCATAAGCTTCTCAGAAAGACATGATTAAAATCAATATACCTGAATTGAAATTGACACGAAACAGAGATACTCATACACTGCCTGTGTATATCATATCAGTCTGGTTTAAGATAATTTCCCTGCAGAATTTTCAAACTAACTTTTTAGCCCTTTAACAGTTTTGTCGGCACTATTATTTCATCATCGTGTGAGGGGTGCAGGCATACGTCTTAATGATAATACTCAAAAACTTTTCGATATGTATAAATAAAGGTTGGTTTATCGAATATTGGTCTTTGTGTACTTAAAATTTGATACCTCTACAAGATATTACATGACTGTAACCATAAGGGAGCACAATGGCTGTCACAGTATGGTATTTGTTCACCGTATTAGCGACACGATTTTCTAATCTGTTCCTCATTTAAATATCATTTCCTCGGTATGATTACTAGGTGTTAAGTGCAGAAACCAATTAAAAAATTCTTTAGATGAACCAACCTGCAAACAATACGGAATGCGTAAACAAACATTTATAAGATAAATATTTAACATAAACATTTATTTCAACAACGATTGAATTTGATTTCAAAATTAATATTGATATTATATATATATTTGACGATTGCGTTGTTCGGAGAGCAGTAACCAAGAGTAGATATTTATTATATTGAACTAAATCGATAGATTCTATGCTTAACGAGAGAAAAAAAATGGCGAAGATTTATATTCACCAGACAAAGTGAAATGGCGTGTGTAATATAATATATATATGTACATGTAAGTGTATATATTTGAGATGAGAGTGAGAGAGGGAAAACACTGACGAGTTTTCAAATTTGCATCGATTGATAAATATTCGATTCTGTAATTAAGTAAGGAATTGGGGTGTCACTCAACTGTACAATGTATACTCGGAAATATCGCTATTTTACCTGTATAAACACATGAAGCATGACTTATTTCCAAAGTATAGGCATGTGACTGCCAGACGGATTTATTAGAATGTAGCATGAAATATTGCCATTCGTTATTCTTTTTGTTTCACTGGAAGCCGATGCCAAAAGTATCATTTGATGAAATATAAAAAAAAATAATTTCTTCTGAAAAACGACGCAATAAAAACTTTGTAATAATGCTTGATCTGCCTTGTGCATCACTGACAACTTACGAATGGCGGCTGGAAGGCGGAAAGATGCGTTTTATTGAAAGATCCGAGAGCATAATTCCTTATGCATTGGCAATTAACAAAATGACATATAATCTGTGCTTATTAAATACTGCTGAACACTGTTTACGGAGGCAAATATTCACAAATTTCATTTATCACATAACTACCTACCATGTTTTCAGTGTAATAACGGCCATTAGATAAACTGTGTTATGACCATATAATATACTGCAGAGCTGTGATAACATGGATAATTAACATTGATTCACTTGTGACGTCATATAGTCCATAGTCCCATATACAAATTAACTTACTCAAGAAAGGGACATGTAATGAGAATGTGGTCGATACGTTTTTTTTTTAATAAATCTGATTAAATGTTTTTTCCACGGATGCTTGCATAAGTATCCAAGTTATGTGAGAAATAGAACCATTTGATAAAAACTCATGATTTTATTTATTTTAACATTGGTAAAATGAAAATTTCTTACACGCGTTTCATATATCTCATACTGGTGTATGAAAGTAAAATCCTCTATATATATATACAGGGTATGTTGTCTATTCCTGTATCTGTGAATTAAATGTTAAATGTTGCCTAACAAGACATGTGTTTTATAATGTGTATTACTAACATTAACGATATTTATTTCTTTGTTGTGTAAGGGAATATCATTGTTTCTTGGCTTGAATACGAAATCTTGAATACTATATTATGACAGCCTGGGAATCACTTCTATCTAGCATTATGGAAACTTCATTGGAAAACAGCATATGTCACGGAAAGCTACAAAAAACGATTCTACACAAATCTGTTACAGAAATGATACAAATATAGGGTTTATGTGTTTCACAGAATCTACTGAAGCCATTACCAGATTTTAAAGTTTGTTTTCTGCTTGGAAATCATACATCATATCTCAGCCGATTTCGCGTCGACCGTGAAAGGAAGAACGATTTGTACATGTGGAGCTATTGTTTGGCTGGTAGGACGCCTAAACACTGACGTTTAATGTGGCCCTGACAAATCGTTGATATTTTCAGGGCCCTAATGAAATCTTGAAATATATTTTTTACAAATGACTTTTCAAACAGAAGAATGCGGGAAATAAACCAGATAAAAATATGCTATAAAAACACTTGATGGAGTTCTTATCCTGTATAGATGTAGACTGGGGAAACTACAAGCTCTCTCTTTTTTTTCAGTTCTCTGTGTGGGAGCGACTTTTTCTGTATATGTCTGTTGCATCCGACGATTGATGTTATTTGCAATAGTAGGCAGACGCGGGCGTAACATTATTCTCAACACTTCTGAATGTGCTAAGAATACACATGATACTATAGAACTGTACCATAATTGTCTATTGTACTGAAGGTTTTACCTGCGTTTTCTGACAGTATCATACGTATCACTGTCTACACTGAAACACCATGTAGTAATTCAATTGCTACACCAAAATCCCGCTGGCTGAGTTGAAACGTATTTAGTTGCAACACAATCATAATATGACGGGGAAAACGTTTAATATTACAACTTAGAATGTACATTTCCATAAATAGATGTAGCTATAAGCAAAATATAAATGATATTGCAGCTTCCTATGATACAGAAATACTGCTTTAAACATTTCACATTTGTATACTGGTGAAAAGAAAACTAGTACATTGTAGTTGTAAGCTTATACATATATATACAGAACATAATGCGTTCATATTTCCATAAACGCTCCTTTTTTCACTGAAAGAGGGTTGATACATTGGACTAGATAAATATTCATATCTATACTTCAAAGTTGAAGAAGTCTATTTTACCCCAGTGTATTATTGTTCTGCCACATCTGCAGCTCGTATGTTGTACATACATTACACAGACTTTGGTCTGCCTAAAATTTTCATGTTGAAAAAAGAGGTAATTTGATAGACACGGTTAAATCGTGTAAATAATTTTGGATTCGAACTGAAATCTCCGGTATTATAGATGTCTTAGTACTGCCATCTTGAAACCACTGCTGATTGTTCAGATATTTTTGAAAGTGCCTATCCTTGCACTCAGCACAAATTGCTGCGAATACAAAATACTGCAAATATTTAAATGAATAATGACTAAATATGAATAAACCTCAAAGCCCAAGCTGACATTTAAATGGAGCAAACTTCTGAAATGTCATAGATAGCGGCGAGCCATGAGTTACAACTGTCTGTCCCGATAACATACAAGCTTTGTACCAAAACCTTACTGAAGTGTCGAAGCATCTGTCTAAAACCATCTGCTCCACAGATAAAGATTTACTATCACCATTTCAATATCCTTTTATCAGTGTATTGTAATATAATTATAGTGCTAAACTTCGAAAGATTTTCTCTTCTGTTTCAATTTTTCTGTTGTCCTAATTGAAAGTGGGTGGCAATGATGACATCATTTTACGATGATGATACCCAAACGACAGAAAAATATGATCGTGTAAACATATATTACTAGGGTTTTGAATAGATTGATATATATATATATATATACACATATATATTGAATACATATTGAATTATATATATAAACAACGACAAAATAAAAAGATGTAGTTTCTATATCAGTAGACACGATCAACAACAAAGCCTAGCAACACATGCTGTTGTCTTATAAGACTTTACGCAGTCTCAAACAAAAGGCGTGAATTCCATTTTGACTAAATGTAAAGATTCTGGCTGTGCAGGA